CATTTGATACCGCTGGCTCTATTAATGACTACTGATGGAGTAATAGTCCTCACAGGAACCTCGTTAGCGGACTGTTTCTTGGTTCGTGACAAACATTAACCGCTGTTCTTGCGGGTGAAACAAGGAAGGTCTGGTGTACTTCGTTGGATTAAGCGTTCTCTCACTATTCTCTTACTAAGTTTTTAATTTGGTGATTGTCCCTTTCTCTTGGCAAGGGTAATGGAAAGAATTTTACTCGTTTTGATCCATCTGCGTCATATTGCTAAATTGTATAATCTTTTGGCACATGCTGAAGATGAAAACGCTTTTGTTGTTGTTCGAAACGATGACATTTACGTTGTACAGAGTGTCGGAGCATGATCCGAAGATGTAGAAGTGGCAAGGAATCTAGTACCTATGTCACAGGTTCAGAGTGAGCAAGTTAGTGTTTGCTCAACATATTTGGCTACATCTTAATGTTATACTGTAAAATTTAACAGTCAAGACTCAGATTCAGTTTTAAACTAGTTCTCATTGTATGAATTTAAGCTGTATGTTTGTAAATAAATTTTTCTTTTAGTATATATTCAGTATTCTACAAATTTGGCATTTATCGTTTGTCGTTTACATTTTGATTTGTCGTTTACACCGTGACTGTTTCGTAATATTTCTGTACATTTCCATTGAACCGTGTACTGTATCTTTGCGTTATGAAAATTTCCCTGCCGATCGCTTCTGTGCTGGAGACTGAAACATTAGAATAAAATAAGTGATTATATTATATCACGCCTGAAACCATTTGCATTGAAAGAAAGTGAGCAGATCTATAACCTTAACATATATTTAAAAATGACATTCCGGAAATATTAATGAAATAAATAGAAATTTATTTACACGTGGTAACATGAATGATGCGACAGTGGACAGACAAAACAAGGTGTAAAGTCGGTTACGCCGACTTTTCTGCTGTTGTGTAAGGAACCACCTGTTTGTTTTGTACTTATCGCCTGGTTTTAGCTGGCCCCCTGGCACTGGCCCGAAAGTTTCTCACGCAGACCAACGAGCCATTTTTTGTATTGAACTCCGATGTTGTCTGCGACTATCCGTTCAAACAGATCATCGAGTTTCACCGGCGTCATGGAGGCGAAGGAACGATCGTGGTAAGTCTGTCGATCACCGAAACGTGTTGCCACGTGATATGTTCGCGTCAGAGCTGATTTTCAGGTGACAAAGGTCGAAGAACCTTCGAAGTATGGCGTTGTGGTGTTCGATCAGGTTGGTCGAGTCGACGCCTTCGTCGAAAAGCCGATCGAATACGTTGGCAACAAAATTAACGCAGGCATCTATCTTCTCAACAATTCGGTGCTCGACAGGATAGAAGTGAATTAACGTGTTTTTTAATGGTTCTAAAGATCACTTCACATCATTTTAATATTTATGTTGGCAAGTGCTTAAATCCCCCACAACACAATTTCACAGCTTACTGCACCGCCTCCTTACTTGTAGCAGTTTACATAAGGTGGTGGTGATGTGGGAGCATTTAAACAGATCATGAGTACTTGGAATTTCTGTTTCTGTACTATTAGATACATGTCGCTTCATTTTATTTCCTCAAATAGTCTCTTCAAGAGCTGGTCCCTCATATACTTACCTCTTCTACGTCATCGCATAAACAGCGAAAATTTAGTTCATAGGTCGTAATTTGCCAACAAGTTCTTAAATAGACGAACTCTGACGTTATGGTGTAATTCCATCACTTTTTGTTTGTTTAGGGCGTATTTGAACTAGCCATGGTCCCTGTGACATTTATATTGGTAGTAATTAAGTTGGCAACATGAGAAGTTGTTCGTTCACAGTATTGTAACTGATTCCTTTTAAAAAATGCAACGGACATCTCAAGTGAGAAAAGTTCGCAGCTCAAGGCAATAGTCTCAACAGATACAAAAACAGAGTATGCATCATATTTTGTGTTAAAATCCGCCGACTTGTTGTGTCAAGTTGTGATCTAGAGACTACGCGAAAACTTTCAACCACGTCTTGGCAAACCTGAGTAATGCTCAATCTATATCCTCTGAATGGTGCTGTTAATCCATGTTTCTTAGCGTATTTTCTTTTAAGAGATATGGCTGTTTCTCTGCAATCTGTGCGATTGCGCTGAGAGGATTGGATAATGATTCTTAGGAACAATATCGAAAATTGAGGCTTTGCTTGGATTCTAAGCGACACAGTTGGAAGTAGGATCGAATTAGACTGTCGGAATGTATTTTTGACAGCCATTCATTTTTGACATTTTTTTTCATTCGTTATTTTAAACTTTGAGTTCAGACTTTGCTAATTTTTGTCCGTGCTATCCGTAGACCCTGGTTGCCATTCCCTACCAGTTTTTTCATATAATTTCACCTATTTAGCTTCCATTTCAAAAGTAGTCTTCTCAGTTGGTTTCTGCACGCGGTTTTTTCTAGGGGCCCACGCTTAGCTAACATTTACGAAGGGCGTCAGTGTGCTTCACTTCTCAGGCAAGTCACGTTTAAGAGGAGGATAAACATGACTTGAACAGCAAAGTTAGCTTGCTTTAAATAAGACCATCTGTCGAACTTCTAATTTTTACGTTTCTGATAAGTCATCTACAATTGTCCGCTGGTGAAAGATCTTTCTTAATGAAGAAACTAGTGTTGTAGCCAATAAATGATATAAGGTGCTTAGACAGTGTATCTGGAGGGCCCACTAAGCACTGTAGAAGCAAAGGGGCAATTTACTAGGCGATGCTTCTGATTTCGAAGAAGTGAAGCGTTCTGTTATGCTCTTGCAAATACCATATCATAGATGACTAGAAATTTATGCACCTTCTGATTTCGTGGTTAACGACACGAAATTTTTTGCATTATTATTCATTTAGATTTTAGTGACACTAACCTGGAAAAAGAATCTTGAGCAGTTCAGTAAATAATTTATTTTTTGTCTTCATCTTGCTGACCGTAGAATCAGAATACTTATCATTAGCGTTAGCTTTATTACCCTAGCATATAAATCTATTTTTACGATGTTTTCCGAAAGCGAATAAGGAACAACAACTTCCGAAACATCAATGCTGCCGAGTAGCTGTGACAGCTGTTCTATCCAGTAAATATTCTGCACAATCTAAAATCGCATTTAACCATAGCTTCCTAAATTAGTCCCTCGATATCTAGAGGCAAATGCTGGTGCGGCAATACTGTATGAACCGATGAATTTATGCTTATGGCTGTTGATTACATTTTTATGTTATTTCTTGTTGTTCAAATATCGCTGATTTATTTTGACTTGTACTTTTAACTTTTCAGTTGAAACCGACGTCCATCGAAAAGGAAGTATTTCCGCAAATGGCTGCTGACCAAAAACTGTTCGCTTTCGTCTTGGAAGGTTTGATGCGTTATTATAAGACGACATAGTGAATATAAATTTTGGTACTTTTTCTAGGGTTCTGGATGGACGTCGGACAACCAAAAGACTTCATCGTTGGCAGCAAACTTTATCTGGAGCACCTTCGCAAAAAGATTCCTGATCACCTGGCTGAAGGGCCCATGTTTCACGGAAACGTATTGGTGGTAAGCAGTTATCCCAGAAACCGGACGCTGTGAGCAACGTCATCGAACAGCTAGTTTGCCTTGTCACGAGTCACGCAGACCAAAAAATCACCTACAGTTGAAACCACGTTTTCTATAAAATTTGCGGCCTTTTTTATTTACAGCGCTTGAACTCGCAAATACTTCATTATGTATACAGAATGGGTCATAGTTTGTCATACGCCAAATAATCTAAGTTGATATAGTTTTATCATGTCTACATCGCTATTAAATAGTCGGTTGACCCTAAAGGCGTGTCATGGACAAAGTGAACGAGAAAACATTATGATGAATCAGAGCTGTGGTCCATGACTGTCGAGAACTTGAATTTCATTGCTGAAGGGCCTGAAAATGTGAGAAACATAACTGGGTTGACGGTTCGTTCTGCAGATAATTCATACAAAATTATATGTTTTGATTCGAGATTCATTACTAAGATAAACATAGTACACTGAAATGTTGGCACGGCAAGAAAATATTAATATATTCAAATTTCAAAAAGTTATTTACAGAATGACACCGTACATATAATTTATATGCAAATTCTCCAAGGTCCAAGGCCATACTCGCCTTGTCTTAAGAGATTGGCATATTATGTACAGAATGTTACAGTGTACGTTAGTATAATCATGTATAAACTTCACTATTGAGGTTTAGACTCGATATATTAATATATTCATTATTTGATAGGAGGAGTCATTCATTATTTGACAGTGTGATACCTGTCATATCTGTGTAATTGTGCGACAGTAAACAAGAGAGTATCGTACATGCGAATACGTCGATATTATGTACCTATCAATGCGATACTGCTTTTCGTTAGTCGAAATCATGTAGATGCAAGGCTACCGTTTAATTGCCAATATTTGGTATAAAAACGTTAAGAATCCTGCAAACCTGACTGCATACAGAAAATCCACCGGAAACCTAAAAGATCGTTACTTTTCTTGTACTAATAACTTCGTAAAAATGTGTTCGCTTCCTGAAAAGTCTGATCTGTGTAGCTGATGTATGTCTTTCAGGACCCAACTGCTAAAATAGGCAAGTGTTGTCGAATCGGGCCGAATGTTGTTATCGGTTCAAATGTCAGAATCGAAGACGGTGTCTGTCTCAAAGATACCACTGTATTGCCACATACCGTTATTCATTCGCATTCGTGGATCGTGAATTCGATTATTGGATGGCATTGTGAAATTGGCAGCTGGGTAGGTCTGGCGGTGTTTTTTGGTCATCTTTGATTTTTCGATCCGTATTTCAGACTAGAATGGAGAACATTTGCGTGTTAGGGGAAGACATTATTGTTAAGGACGAGGTCTATCTAAACGGTGCCAAAATTCTCCCACACAAAGGGATATCTGAAAATGTGCCTGAACCTAGTATCATTTTGTAAAGTTTTAGTTTCAAAATATTTTAGTTCCTGCCGGTTTTGTTTTTTGTTAATTGTTTGTTACTTGTTATTAATTCTTGCTCGTGGATAATCTTCATGGCATAAGTTTTGATATTTTTTGTTTGTTTAAAAAAATTGTTCCCGATTCACTGTGATTGTTTGATGGTATTGCCGGGAATCATTATGGTATTTGGTATCCAGGTGACTTGATAATGTTATTGTTGTCTGATTGTGTACTTTAAGCTTATAAAAGTTGGGAATGGTTCTGTAGTTTAGTCTTACTTCAAGTGATACAACAAATGCAAACGTGTAAGAAAATCCCGTTGTCATTGTTTTCAGCTTTTACTTCTAGAACTATGATGTTACTTGCCTTAAAATTTGGCAATGCCGTTGTGAATTAAGTTTCTGACCTTCATTCAGGCCTCTACTATTCAGTTAGAAAAGTTTTCATTGATTTTTTGTTGAGGTTAAGTCAGGCACTACCTTCGAAAACACGCTGGTAATAGCGGAGCAACTGTGATATATTTGATTTAATCACAGAACATCTTCGAAGTTTTTGGCTAAAGTAATACTTTGATTCAATGAATATGCTGCATGAGACGGAGTTCTCGTTGATGCCACGTAAATGTTTGAGTGAACAGTGATGTGGTTTTGCTCTACAGATGCTCAGGTTCCATAGAACTGTAACTCTAGGAAGCAGGTCGATAGTACTGTGTGATGTAATGTTTGAATTATTTTGTAAGGCACTCTTAAAGTAAACAGTTTTATTTGGGGTTGTAAAATACGCTCTAGTGTTCAGTATTGCATCAGTATCGCCTAAGATGGACAACACAGGGATTCAGCTAAAATTATACGCTAAATGCCGTCATTATTACGTTTATGTTGCAACCAACAAGTCTAGCACAAATAGCCTACTTGTTTATATTATCCTCTAACATGACTGCGTTGCACGAGTGGTTACCCCGTAAGAAAAACGTTTTCACTGATCTCGGCTATCTTTTTGTGGCGCTTCATTAACTCAAACATCTCCAGGTCTAGGAGTTTCTCAGTCCAGTGGATATCAACATTTGTTAGTTCCTAGCAGGGTGAATGATTGCACTAGGAGGCAACCCATTATGTACTCAGCGTGAATGGGAGCTGGCGATCTTCATCGTATATTGGGGCAGCGTCTGCTTGTGGACCGTACCTAAAATAACATGTACCGCAAAAATTAAGCACTCGAGGAAAGTGTGATTTCACTAAATTGTGAGCAAAAGGTACTGAGAAAATTGGCCGTAGAGTCCTGAAGATTTTGTATCCGGCCCTCAAAACAGCATGACGTTAAACCTGGCGAAATTGCAGCTAAAAATGGATGTGCCAAAAAAATGGCTGTGAAATTTGAGTTATCACTAGACGATGTCGTTCTCGTTGATTTTGCCAATCCAAAGTTCAAGCTTATGGTTCTGGAATTTCGAAAGATTTCAGCTTACATCGTGGGCACGTGATGATAATCTAATTGGTTGACAGTGACAATGCTTTTAATGTTATTGACATTAAAGACGAGCACAGAGTTATTCATCCTGGCATTTCTAAGTGAATGAAACTTGACTGACATAAATTCACGGGCTAAAGCTTAGCAGGTAGCATATAACGATGTGTAGGTTAAATTCTTGTGATTATTTGAATTACTTTTTTGCACACTGACCTTCCATCTTTACCGATTCCAAGGAATCTGCGATGGACAAGCAATCCTCGACGCTTTGTCAATGAAATCGTCTATATTCGGCACACCTTTAATAGAAGCACAGTACAAAGCACTGCGACTGATCCGCATTGGTGGCAGACGCTGCCAGCACTCCACCCGAGGCTCGTACAGTTCGCAGAGAGCCACGGTCGTAACGCCGTTGTAGCCTCCGGCGACCAGGATCTGGTCGTTGTCGATGACAGCGATGCCGAAATTGCTTCGCGGATTGATCATCGGCTCAACGGATTGCCACTGGCCAACCCTTGGGTCATATCGTATGACTGCCTTTTGCCTGCTTGTGCCGTCGTAGCCGCCCACAACGTAGATG